CTAATGTGTATTTGTACACACAAGAGCGTGCGCACAGTAATAGTAATAGATGATTCAAAAGAACTTTAGTATGGGCCCTTACCAAGATTGTGCTTTCGTTTCCTAGCCTGGCCGTGTGAGATGCTATGTGGACTGTTTGCCTCAGTTCCACAGAGCTGCTGTGGTTTCCTCCCATGCCATCCAGCTGATGCTTCAGTCAGGTTTCATCCCTAACTGCATCTGGAGGAACGATATGAGTCTCTGCCTTCCTCTTGCAGATATCAGGGGAGTAATGATTTGGAAATAGCAGTGTCAAGATCACGAAGAGCAAAACAAGGGAGTGAGGGGGTTTTTTTAAGTGGAGATAGACCTTGGTTTCATAACTTTGTTATTTATTTCCCTAGCAGATCACTGAGACTAACAAGGTGAATTTGTATTCTGTTAAAGGGTTTGTTTCAAAGAAAATATTCTTGAGTCTAGGTTGTTCTTCACAGACTCTCAATTTTCAACCTTCTTACTTATTCTCTTTCAAGGATGCTGCTATTTCACATCAATAACTGACACCTTTATTTCAGAGAACGAAATAGAATTACACTCCAGCACTGACAATATAATAAATCAGGAGGGATAAAATACATATTAGTGAAGTTCCCATAGTTGGTTTGTCCCAGCTGACCTGTAGATATAAAGATATGATTAAAGTTTTTTTGGACTGCTCCTTCTCAATCTTGCCACAAGATTTAGCTCCAACTCAAAGATTTGACCTTTGCTGCTCTTTTCTGCTTACCTTGATTCTTTGGAATTATTGTTATTCCCTTGAAGCCTTTCTGCTCGTACAGAATTAACACTGTGTTGTGACAAAATATTATCTATTTGGCAGAAGAATGAAGCCATCTAGAATTCAATCAGGTTAGACAATGTCACGGTGCACATCCCGAGTAAATAATTTCTCCCTAGCTTTTTTTAATCAAAGAAATCTCAGCCCTATAGCCACGAAGTGTCAGGCTGAATAGTCACATAGCTGCCTACAGTTAAAGTTTAGGCATATCAGTTGTTTTTTATGAATTACAGTTGAAAAGCATGCCTGCCAGAGCACTTAATCTTTCAGATGGGTAACAGGTATGAAAATATTTATTAACCTTCCTGGAAGTGTTTTTTACTGAAGAAGTTCCTTGTGGTTCACCATATTGGTAAAAAGAAGCATAAATAAAGGAAGCATGAAAAATGTGCACTGAACACTCCTGAGAAAAACAATATGTGGTATTTATGTGTTCCCTGCTGGGGATGAGATTACCAGATGAAGTAAATGCACATAGTTTTACTGAATTCAGTGGGGCTATCTAGATTGGTTGTAGCTGAGTGTATGACCCAAACCAGCTGTTTGGGGAGAAGCAGTTACTAAAAAGATGTGTGTTTTTCACAATGTAATAATTTTTTTGTTGCTTTTAATGTTATTTCCATTATTTTCAGTGCTACATATCATTTTCTTTAATGTTATTGTTAAGTTACCTATGTGTCTACTAGTTTCATTGTCACTAAACCTATGTATTCTCCTTGAAACTAAAGCTGGATAAGTTCCACACCATTTCCCCCTAGCCCTTCCATTTATATTATCTACTAGAAGAATTTAAGCTAATATAATAGTTTCAAATTGTGATGCATTTCACAATGCACTTTTCCCTCTGATGAGGGATGGGATAATGTAATCAGCAATTATTTTTTTGTGTGACCTTTAGAAATCAAATGGCTATTTCCTTGCTTTTCATTTGTATTTTGCTCCCAGTGGTGCAAGACTGCTGCAGTTAGTATAAAACATAATTTATAGATAGAATCACATTATAATAGGGTATACCATTCTCAAAAAATGTACATACTGCATGGACTTTTTAATGAAATAATTTAAAGTCATGTATAAGATGTCTGAGACTAAATTTATGCTGTTAATTCACAGAGGAGTTTCCATAATCACTATAGAGATGTCCTGGAGCAGCTGCCAGGCACTGCAAGTGAAGGCAGCAATAAAACTTGTCTAGGGTAAATCCCATGTTAATAATGGAATTTGAGAGATGCCATAGTATTAGGGACCCAGACTGGTGACTACAGAGGGTCCTTCTACCAAATGCACCTGATTTACACCCGCTGGTTGAATAAGCAACACAGCTTAATGCCTTCCCAAAGGATGCAGTTGTGAACATTGTTTCATTTTGACATGACTGTATGGTTCTTTTGAGGGTCTAGGGAGCATTTGTTCATTAAAGGCATTCAGTGAGTTACAGTGAATCTGATAAGTGAATGATGACCTACATCCATGAGACTTATGTCCATTGAGTTAACAGAATCCTTATGCACCCAAACCTCTTCTGAAAAATTTAGCCTTTTGTTATAAATGACATAGAAGAATCCTGCCCACCCCCCTTTTTATTTAAATATGGATTACAAAAATTATATACCCAATAGCAACAAAATCTCATGATTAATTTGTTTTAAGTTAAGGAAACCTTTTGGAAATAGGACATTCTCTTACTTATTCAGTGAATCAACTGATAATGCCTCAATAAAAACTGTAGAAACATCATATTGAAAAGCTAGACATAAGTGTTAAAAGCAACTGGCTGTCAGGGAATACAAATTATTAACTCACTGGGTTTTTGTTTTGTTTTTTTGTTTTGTTTTTTGTTTTTGTGTTTTTTTGTTGTTTTTTTTTTTTTGTGGTAGTAGAAGATACAAATCCAGAACAGAAATATGTATGATCACACTACTTATCTTTGTTCCTGTGTTGATCACAGGACATCTTTCATTTTTTTCCTGTACTTCCCAAACTTCCATTTAGTCACAAGAAGTTTATTGTAAGTGAAGGAGCCCAGGGTGTAGAGCAGTAATTTTAAAGATCATAACAGGAAAAAAATAAATGTAAGTCCTTCTGTATTCTCATAACCTCACAATAGCTGTGTTGTAAAGACTTTTATTCTAAATCTTCAGTTTCCTTGAAAGGCAGAAAAAGGGAAGTTTCAGTAAAATATTGTTTTACAGAGGATGTTTCTGAAAGTTGAGATTAGAGCAAAATATACATATGAAAAAAAAGTATATATTTTTATATATACACCCATGCACTTTTGAATATTGATAAGCATGTAGAAGTTCCTGTTGCATATTTGCCCAGAAAAGTTGTGGAACCAACTTCTGTGGTTGTCCAGAAAAGTTGTGGATGCTCCATCACTGAAAGTGATCAAGGTCAGGTTGAATGGGCTTTGAGTAACCTGGTCTAGGGAAAGGTGTCCCTGCTCGTGTCAGGGGGGGTTGGACTAGATGATCTTCAAATGTCCCTTCCAACCCAAACCATTCTATGATTCTACGTTGGAAAGTGAATAGAAAAAGGACATCCTCTCAAAAGAAAACAGATCAGCTTTTGGCATAGTGAACTATGTCCGTGCTAAACCAAATGAGGGAGACGTGAAACATGGAACAAAGCAGTTTGTGTCACAGCAGAATAAGTACCTGCATAAAACCACCACCGTTTTTGTCACAGAAGCTGTTGCATTTGCTATTTCTGGGAGCTATGGTACTGATTCTTCCCTGCAAGCCTGTTATGTCTTGCGACACTGATAGTGGGGATAATTGTCTGACAAACTAGAACATTGTTTTTCCAAGTTTGGATAATACTTTCATTTGATAATTAGCAGTAGGATGTTTCTAGCTCAAGAAAATGTATTTGAGTGCTACATGGGCTACTGCATCCTGTACTTACATTTCCACTGCAGATACTGGACTTGGTTCGTTGGTGAGTTTTTAAATCAAAGACAGTATGCACATTTGAGCTAGTAAGATTGACTTTGGGTTCAGACCTGAATTAGGAATGACTGCTTTTTACTTATCTGGCTCTTCTTATCTCTCAGGTTCTTTACTAATATGAACCAGTACAATGGAAGAAAAAGGTATTGTCGGTCTAAAATACTACTGCCACCAAAAACCTGTACATTGAAGGAAATATTTAGGTTTACCATTCTGCTAAGAAAAGTTTTAAGTAGGAGATGTGGTTTTCTGAGGATTCACACCTATATCATTCAAACACAAAAAGCTATAATTACAAACAAATATTTAAAGTGATCTGCTCATTATTCCTTTTGTCTGATATTTTCCTGGCTGTACCAGCCTTATTTTATCTCATTGTTTTATTTAAAGAAGTCAAAGATTTCTGCACAGACTGAGAATAAATATAGTTTGCAAATATGACAAGTTTGTGTTTTGCTTGCCGAGTTCTGGTTAGTTCTTAACTTTTGAAACTCCACTACAGATGGCCTCTTGCTAAATTTTAAAGCGCTTCCACATTTCAGAACCAGGCTACCTTTTAGCAAGTCACTTTTGTCAAAGCCTTGGTGTTCCTTCAAGACATTGTCAACATGTCCTAAGAGAATGTAGAAATGGTGAATACCCTGGTCTGTCCTGTACCCTATATTTGAATTTTTGAAATTTATTTAAATGAAGCACATAAGAATGTATTTTTTCTGACTAGGAAATAAGTTACAGTAGGTCTGTTTCTAGACAGCAGAAGTAAGTGTGACTTAGATGGTGATTAAGTGTTGTGTTCTTCTTCTTTAAATGACTAATCTGGAGTGAGAGGTTGGATGTCTTTGGAAAACTTAAACCTGTTTCACCTGAACATGTTTAACTAGTTAATAAGAAACATCAAAAAAGACAAAACCCTGAGGTCAATGATCATTTTTTGTAAAGCCATTCGATGATGTTTAAATTTGTTTTTTGGGTCTGTCTATAACATAAGTTTAATAACCTAGTTCAAATGCAGATTTCTAATTTTCAATTAACATAGGAATAATTTTGTTTGCTAAAATAAAATAAATGAATGAATGAAAAGTCTGAACCATGAAATGTTCTAGGTAGCACTTTTTAAAATTCCAAATTTCAAAAAATCATGTGGCAACTGTATAGCTCAAGCTTTAAGTATTAACTTTTAACCTTTGACCTTACAGATTTTAACCAATGAAATGTCTCTTTAAACTTTAAAGGAAACAATGATAACGAGCGCCTGGCGATTGCTAGACAGCGAATTCCATATCGACTTGGTCGAGTAGTTGATGAATGGCTACTCGACAAAGGTAAAAAACATTGATTAAAACTTCAAATAAAAAAATAATTTGAACATAACCAAGTAGTACTTCATTGTAACACTAATAAACAGAAAAAATAAATTTCAGTAAAACTAAATTAAAAACAAATTTTAAAAAGTAAAATATAGAGTAATATTTGCATACCTTGTATAATAATTTCTATACATTTCTAGAAGTACCAGCTGTTTAATAATCTTACCCTGTTAACTTAAGGTTAAAGGGACTGTTAAATATAATCCACTAACTCAATCTATGAAGGTACTCACAGCAAACATTAACCAAAAATTATAAATCATTCATAGATTATATTACATGTTCCAGCATCTAAATTATTAACTAAAAATATATGTAGTTATGATATCTTCATTATGGTCCTGAAAAAAAAAATTTGTTTAAACTGTAGGTATCTTAAATAGTGGGCAATATGAATTGCCAATCAAAATGAAGTCCCTTTAACGTTTGCAACCTTCTAAGGGGATTTTGGAACAAACACTAATTAAAACAGAACTTAAAGTTGTGTGCATGCTTTTTGTGAGCAGAAACCAATCTGCTAAAGTGACTATTCAATTTACTAAGAGTGGTACTGTTGCTGAGGATTTCTCTGTTTAATGGAAATGTGCCATGATTTCTCCATCGGTATGTGTATCATTTCTGAAGCCGCTTTTACATCTAAAATCTTCTATTTTAATTGATAGCCTTGCTGAAAGCCAATCAGACATCTATTTTTGAATCTGCCTCTGAGATACTCAATGTGAACCATGTGTTTCTTTTCAGTGTGGATGTTGAAGGAAAATAAACATTTAAATACAAAAAGGAAACATTTAATTAAAGATGTAAATATTTTATTCATTTATATAGAAATATGACAGATTACTGCATAACATATTCTTTAAAATTCACTGGACCTAGTGACTTGTTGGCATATATATAAACTTTCTCTGTATGTATAGACATATTTGTATATGTCTATACACACGTAAACTCATATGTCCATACTTAAAGCTATAGGCCCTATGCTGTATTGTGTGAATAATGCTGTATTGTGTGAAAAAAACTTTGAAATGTTGGCAGACTTGAAGAAAAATTGATCTTAAGGAATTAGTAACCTGGCGTTCTTGACACACAGAAAAAAGCTTAACACTGCTTTCAGGTAAAAGGAAGAAGGGTGTCATTTGTAGTACTAAACACATTTGCAAATATATTTGATTGGCCTTTTAGCAAAAAAAAAAAAAAAAATCAAAAATCTCAAACCGTCGTAAATTAAGAAAAATGCAAATGCTCTCAAAATTTATGCATTTCATGGACACTTCATTAAAAAGCAATGAATTATGAGTCAAATCCTTTTCTTATAGTTTATTGCTTTCATTATTCACCCCATGAAAATCTGTTATCACTCGTGTAGAGTATAGTGTTCACAGTCAACATTTTTGCATGTATATAATATTATCTTCACAGGGCGTCAGCTCACAATCTTCAATAGCCAAGCAACCATAAAAATTGGAGGCAAGGAACGTGGCCATCCTTTCCAAGGCCAGCTCTCTGGTCTTTACTACAATGGCTTGAAAGTTCTGAATATGGCAGCAGAAAATGATGCCAACATCGTGATAGAAGGAAATGTGAGACTTGTTGGTGAAGTGCCTTCCTCTATGACAACTGAGTCCACAGCCACAGCGATGCAGTCTGAGATGTCCACATCAGTTATGGAAACAACCACCACTTTGGCCACAAGCACCGCTAGAAGAGGAAAGGCCCCAACAAAAGAACCTATTGGTCAGGTTAGTCAGCTTCCTCACCTTTTGCAAATATTTTCCCATCTTTGAGTGTGGCTTCCTATATCACATTCACTCCACAGATGAAATTGTTCCTGTTGAAGAAATGCATGAATTACAGATAAAAGTTCTGTACCATACATTGCTCAGGGATGCGATGTTGACCAGCATTTAGAGGGAAAGTGAGGACTTTGCTGTTCTTCTAAATTAGGCAAACTAACTGGTTCACATTTTTTATTGTCCTGAGTTTTTTGATCCTGTCCTCAATCTTCATAGTGGTGCATATTTTTAAATACCCTTTCTTCCTTCGATGACTTATATGGATTATTTCAATCAATATTAATACAGGATATCTGGAATTAGAGATAATGAAGTGGTGACATTATCCATGAGATAGAGAAAAGAGACCCAGTTTGAAGAGGGAACAGGAAAGATGTGTGAAGACAAAAAGTTGGAAGAGGCTGTAAAAGAAAGAATTAGCAGGTTCTCTAGTCCCATGATTGATTATCACCTTGGGCAGTATTCTTCATAAGAGGCAGTGGCAGCAGAGGGAATTAAGAGCATTCTGCACCCTTGGAGACTCAGGCTCCAAGTCAGAGGCTGTTGTTTACTGTTTGTTGAAGTTATTTGCATCTCATGAATTTAGTGATATATTTAGTACCTTTCAGGTTTTGTCAGGATCTCTGTATAATATGTGGGGGAATTTAATTATTGGGAAAAGGAGGGGGAAAATAAGGTGAGTGAATTAAGTACCTTAATCTTGTGGATATCCTGAGTAACAGCACTCAGACTTTGTGCTTTAAAAAAACTAAAACTTACTGTGACATTTCTGTGGCAGAAAAGATTCTTTTATATTTATTCTGCCTCAAAAACAAACCAAAAGAAAAGTACACCACTAAAAGCCTTTCCTATGTTCACTTGGTTCACATGCTTGCTTGTGCACCCACTGTGCCATCAAGCCATGACAGCTATGCTCTGAGATCCAGAAGTAGGACAAGGAGCAAAGAAAGTGTCACGAGCCATAGGGAGGAACAGGAGCACAACGTGATGAATGAGGTTAATTTTCTTGAGAATAGAGGAGAACATGCTGATTAGACTGGGAGACTGAGGTCAAGTTGCCTGTTTTCTGTGTAAATCCTCAATTCACAGTTTGAATTTGATTGGGGCATCAAACTCAATACTTCAGCTTTTCTGTCTGTAATATTTTGGTATGCTTTATACTATGGACTGAAAACTGCAGTGATGGAAAAGTAAAAATTATTTTATAAACCAAAGCAGACCAGTTAAGATAAAATTGAGCTTTTTAAAAAAGCATTTTGACTTGTATTTTCAAAGACAGGTTTTATGCATTTTTCTTGTTTATTTAAAGCGCATAAGAATCCAAAGGCGGGGGATTAACCTGGCTGGTGTGAGTCCTTGATGCAGCCCATTTGAAACAACTTGGTAGGAATATTTCCGTATCTAAGATCTGTATCTGTATCTAATCAACGCTTCTGAGGAAAGCATTCAGTGTAAATGCCATTTACAGCATACGGCATCCCGAGTCTATAAGTAAGCCCTTCTTGCCATTAATAATACACAATGGTTTATTTCAGCTATGTCTAAATGTCCTGCCTGGTAGGATTTGTGTTGTCATTAGGACCATACACTTAATTAGTCAGGGACTGCACTGGAACGCAGTTTGCAGTCAGGCCTGGGATTTGATTTGAACAGATTGATAACATCCCAAAGTCAAAGCTGAAATTTGTCTGCAGAATGCTAAGTTACTCATGCGACAAACTCAGACCTAGGAAGATACTAAATCAAATTAAGGACATAATTTATTCTCTGCATTAATACCTGTTTTCTTATTCTACCTGCATGTATTAATTTCTTTGCTAGTGACCCATAGGACTCCCGTGGGTCTGTCTTGCAGAGTGCTGAGTAATCACTCTCCATCTTGATGTCACTCACCATCTCATGGAAAATCTACGTTTAAGTTCTGCATTCCATTTCATTTTTGTCCTTTACATTTTTTTCTGATTTTTATTTATATATAACCTCTGCAAGAGTGTCAACTACATTGACATACTATAATGCACAAGAAGAAAAGTTGCCTTTCTAGCACTAATTAGGTTACTGAAGAAACTATGCAGCTGAACAGCAATTGCTAATGAAAAAACTTACATTATTGCAAACCAGTGCATGTCTGAAATAGAATAGAAGCAAATGATCTAATCAGTCAGAGATTGTTTGCTCCATTTGCAGAGGTATTGAATTCAATTAAAGATTACAATACTTAAAGAAGATAATTTAAATCTCTATTTATAGGAAATGTTCTTTTAAAAAACCTACAATGTTAGTGCTTAAATTGATGGAGTGCATGCTTCTCAGCAGATATCTAACTAATGTAATTCATGATACAAGATAGACATGATACTTCCAGAAAGTACATTGAATACTGTTGAGCGTGATTTTAGACAAATGAGTTCTTAGTGCTTCTGGGGGAAAAAAAAAAAAAAAAAAGTTTTTTTCTCAGTGACTCTGCTCTAAATGAAGGTTTTCCCTACTTGGAGGCTGTGTAATATTTTAACAATGGATGTTTTGGTGATGACAGACATCTTAATCATTATACTTGTAAATGTAGATTTTTTTGAAAGGGGAGAAAGGTACTCAAAGCCTATTGAATGTCAGTGGTAGGTGAGTGCCTCATTTTCCTTAATGCCTTAAAAATCACACCTCCTCCCTTCTCTTTGATTATAATGGCATCTAGAGCTGTCAGCCTTCATGCAAGGCACTGCATAAGCATATAGGAAGTGACAGGCCCTGCCTCAAATAGCTTACAGAATAAACAAAAGGTATCAGGTAAAGAGCTGGTGGTGGGGGAAGGAAATTAGAAGATGAGAGCAAGAGGGAAATAAAGCAAGCATTGCACTGCTCAGTATTAACAAGCTGCAGCAGCCATCATGGGAGGGATAGTTAGTAAACTGGTTTTTGATCCAGGCTCTTTAGCTAGCAGCCCCCAAGATGCAGCTGTCCTGTAGGATCACCATGTAGCTTACAGTAGACTGTGAAACAGGCAATTTAAGGACTGGGCTGCCTATTTTGTCCCAGTTGGACAATTGGTGCAAAATTGGCACCAGTTGGATGGTTGATGAAAGGTTTTCTCTACTATGCTACTCACTTTGCCGTTGACACTTTAGGGATCCATGGCCACTGGCATGGGTGCTGAGGATTGCAGGACAGATCCTTTGCTCCCCTGCACTGGGCGGGAGGAGGCTCAAAATTTTGCATAATTTTATGAGCATGAAAAGAAATCCCCAACCTTAAGCGTTACAAGAACAAGATTTCTGTTAAGTGAAAATATCCAGCTATGTGTTGCTAACTTTTGGTGAGCTATAACTATGCACTGGAGCTCAGAAATAATGAATTTGGTCTAAGAATATCATCCTCTTTGTGAAGTTATTCAGCAAAATGATGCAGTTAAGTTCTTTCTTCTTGTTTTTCACTTTTATTTTTGTCGCTTTTTCAAAGTCTCATTTGCAAGTTTTCTATTCAATCATAAAGGCGATAAACTTCTTTTAAAATTGAAAATAAAGGAGATTCACATGTTGTATAACTCCAGGAGCTCAAATGTTATGCAAAACATCAAATACTGCAAGGCTTGCAATAAAAATTGCAAGAACTGGCAGAAGCGGAAAGACTTCGAAAGGACTTTGAGTGTGGGTTTTGCTTGAATTAGGATAGTACAATCAGGCCTTTAGTATCTCTTTGGCATGGCTTTGTGGATCTGTATTAACTGGAAATCATAAATGAAGTGATAGTAAATCAAGAATAATATGTTCATTTCTCATCTGTTTCTAAAGATTTGATTATAACAGCCCATCCACAGAACAGGCTCTGCTCTCATGTGTTGGAAACCATTTCTGAAAGTTGTGTGCAAAATAGCTTTTTTTATTTTTCATAAAGGATTCTGGCAGTCCTCTTTGTTCTCATCAGAGTGGGCTCTTATCAATAACACTAAGCCACTTAACCACCAATTGCAATATACTGTGAGATGATTGCATGTTTTGGAACAATAGGCACTGATTTTTGGTCAAGCAGAATTAAATTGACTTCATATTAAATTGATGAGCTGAAATTTGGTCGGTTGCCTTGGAGGGCATACATCAGGTGAAGGGTATGTTTCTTTACGTGTATTGAAGCAGTAGATTTAAATTATATTCATTGCAGCAGGGACAATGACAGGCTTGGCTTAGTGTCCTCACCTGCCAAATAAAAGCAAGCATTTGAAAAAGACAGGGGTGTTTTTCCATGGAAAGAGTTCAATTTTAAGAATAGTAGTTGAGTATATGACCTTTAGAAAGAGCAGTAAATGCTGAATGTATTTTATAGAGACATGCTAATCAGTAAATCAATGTAGTTAATAGGAGGAAGAGTATTTTCCACCCATCTTGGTTTAAAATTACCCACTGTATGGTTTGCAATGCCCACTCTTATACAGAGGAGTTGAGTTCTTTCTGTGCCTCTGCGCTGCTACCATTTCTTCCTCTGGGCATTCACACCAACCAGTCCACAGTTCAACAGCCCCAGTAGGCAAAGCTCTTCCCCAGGGGTCTGGTAAATCACAAGGATTTGACTCAATGGATGTTCACTAGTGAAAAATGAATCCCATTGCCTCCCATCGCAGTGCTCAGCACCCATACCTACTCACTAGATGACAGAACCTGGGGAATTCAAGTGTTAAGAACAAATCTCATTTGCACTACGATCTCTATGCAAATATGATAGTTGTGGAAGTGCTCACATTTTAATTGCAGGTAAACAGAAAACTAGCTAGGAGTGTGAAACCCACATCCTTTTTTGTTGTTGTTTAAATTATCAGATTAAGCTTTTTTAGTTTCTTCTAATTATTTTTGCTAATTCAGTTGATCATTTAAAAACATAATTGTTAATACTGACACTTAACTAGGATCTCTAAAAATTTAAAATAGAATGCTGTGAACACTAAGATTCTCTAACTGTGT